TTCACTATTTGGCGTTTGAGGCATTTGCGCACGCCGTCGTACTCGTTGCCTGTTGATATGGATTTCCTGGTATCAATCATGGATAGCTAATTCAAGGACATCCAGTGGTCTTGTGGTCTAATCGGAGAAATCAGACGGTGCGCTTCATCCACATGCCCACGGTCAGTACAGTATTGGTTTATTTTGGAGGGTTGTTGGGCTAGCTCGGATCGATACTGTTGAGCTTTGGTAGTTTTTCGAAGATGGCGCATTGGCATGCTTATTGCTGATTTGCGAGGGCCTGATGGAAAATGTACTGTCAGGTGTGCATGCACCGTGGCGTGATCGGCATCAAGCTGTATCCCACAAGGAATGACAACATTGGATTGTAGCTGTGATGGATCACATGGCTGATCGCTATGTAATGACCGTTGAATGATCCGTGTATGAGCTTTTAAGAGTGAACTACTTTAATCCGTGCTTCCTTAGGGGAAGACAAAATAAGTGCTTCTGTAGATATGGGTTTACTGGCTACCCGGACGAGATGGCCTACTTTTAATCGCAGACTGCCTACAGACCACTTCGCATAACGGTCAGTCTTAGTACAGAGTATCGTCCCCTATCAACTGGCACCCTCTCTTTGATTTTATGGACATGGTGACATATTGTAAAATGATGCTACAGTCGTGCAGCAGAAAGGCCCGACCACCGGGTCTGGTGGTAGCATCTTGTCAAGGCCATACGCGAAGCAAAGTGGCAGACACAACTCGGGGGTTTACTCGATCAGAAACATTTCCATAAGAGCTAACACACCCACCGACGCATGCAAAACTCCTCAGTGCTTCACCTTGAATTAGAAGGTGCATGGCCAGAGACTACACTTATTGGAAAGAGACTTCATTTCCGAACACCCGTAATGTGGTAGTTCCCGGAAGTTAACAGCACAAACATCTGAAGCGCCAGTCACCAGCGTGGGAGTCTTTCTTGCGTATCTTCGAAGGTCCTGGTCGATTTTTGAATACCCACACAAGTCTGGAAAGGTTACTTGCCCTTTTGCATGAAATCCTCCGACCGTACAGAGTTCGCGGCCGAATTATCCTAGGCGACTCACTCTACCATATATCGAGCCGGCTGAATGGAATAAAGTAGATGATTTCTAGTATGGAAGTAGAACACGGTAGTTCCTAAGTGAACACCAATTGAGGTTATTCAACTGTGAGCTGCTTGCATGATCGGGACCACTTACTATCTCCAACTGCAATGCTGTTGGCGCACTAGGCGGAAAGTGAGCAACCTGGTGGTAGCATACGGTGCGTATCGTAGAAGATGAGGGTCCAAAATGACCCTGAACGAACTTTAGATACGTCTGCAACCCGAATTTCAGCATCAAAGGATGTGTAGGAACAAACTGTTTAAAGCAGTTATCTATCTTAACGCTAATACCTGTACGATCATTGGTTGCACAGACGGAAACAGAAAGTGCGAATAGGAAATATATTGGATTGCTTGGCTTACCAGGCTCGAAAGTAACAGGCAATTTATTCAGATACGGTGGCAACGAGCCGTACTCACAATCTGCGACGCATCCAGCAGTTCCAGTCGCACGCATCAACTCACTATCATGAAAAACGACCACCTCATTATCACGGGTCAAATGGCAGTCCAGTTCAAGCATTTGGGTTCCATTGACCACCGCACTACGAACTCAGAGCACTAAGTATAACATACTTTCGGAAGGCATCCATAGAATTCTCAATGCGTTCACCGGCACCACCACGGTGGCTAATATGTTGGACATGTATGGGAAAATTTCTTGATTGGTGCAACAAATGCGGACGTCGTAGTAGCACAAAGGAGCTTATGACATAACCGGCAAACAGCCCAACGACAAAAGTCATCATCTCCGGTTGAAGCCCGCCAAAAATTTCCAAACCCCAACGAGGAAACTACATATTGCTGTCAGCAACGGACGTAAATCTAGAATGGGCAAGTTTCAGAGTGATGAGCGCTCTGATTGGACGATACGCCGATCGCCTTGGCAGATCAGACTACCGATGCACAGGATCGAGGCTCTCACACAAGCCACCAGGGTAGGGTATGCTCTCGACGTTATGCGTCTTCCGTACACCTGAAAAGTACAAACGAAGCCGCTGGCTATTCGTACAATGAGATTGAGTTCTCGAAATCTACGGCATTTTCAGACTTGCCACTTCATAGTGTAGAATGTCTATGTATAATGTATATGACCCTGTATTATTGAAAATCCCTTACTATGGCGATTTGCTTAGGTGAACTAAATCTCCAGGTGAACAAACAC